CAAACATAGCACACACACCTCCTCTATCTGCCAATAAGAAGTCAGTCGCTATTCTGTTTTGTACTGTCATTAATGATGTGGCAGAGGTTTGTTCAGACAGGCCCTCCACTGCGTCACGAGTCAAATTGGCCAACCTCTGCATGTTATAGTGTATGTAATTAATACGGTCTACATTTTTGTTAGGGGTTACAGGAAAATAGACTGATAATATTGTTATCAAAAGGAAGTGGTCAGAACCTCGGTGGACAGGCCCGTACCGAGTGACAGAGAGAACATCACATGCTGTGAAACTAGAGGGAAAAGGAGACACGTGGTATCACTGGACGCAGTGTTCTGCAGCTTCAGAACCCTCGAGGACATTGGAACAGATAAGAACAGAACTTAAGTCAATCACATGCAAATCTCCAAGTGGCCGGCCAATGTTTTGAACATAAATACTTGGCCTCTGTGAACTGTCCAGTCAACCTAATGGGGAGAGACATTCTTGTGAAGTGTGGAGCTACGGTGCATTGTAGCGCTGATGGGCTGCAAGTCACTTTCCCAAATGGACATGTTTTGAACTGTTCTTCCAGTCACTCGGACGGACACCAACTGTGGTTGGCCCCCAGCACAGATCCAACACCTCACAGCAAGAAAGTTCCGGATTCGAGCCCTGAGGCCTTTCGGTGTGGACTGTGCTTGTTGTCCCTGTGCCTGCATGGGTTCTCTCCGGGTACTCCGGCTTCCTCCCACAGTCCAAAGACATGCAGCTCAGGTTGACTGGTGACTAAAATGCCCATAGGAGTAAGTGTGTGTATGTGTACTGTATCTGTCTGTTTCTAAGTGTCAGCCCTGTCACAGACTAATGAGCTGCCCAGGGGGTACCCCTTGTCTTGCTCAATGTTAGCTGGGATTGGCTCCAGCCCCCTGTGACCCTCTTCAGGATAAGCTTATATAGATGATGGATGGATGGATGGATGGATGGATGGATGGATGGATGGATGTTTCCTGTTTGCAGTGACGAGGCAGCAGCACTAATTAGTGTTATAAGTTTCACCTGCACTGATCACACCAGGTGGGTAGAAGTGCCTGAGTTGCTGTGTAAGATGACTACACTGAAGAAGGCAGTTATGCCAAAATATCTGTGTTCTCTAACTTCCATGTGTTTTTAAAGGCTAAAGAATAAAAGTTAATGTTAAGGCAACAATTCTGGACAAGCAGTTTTTGGTGGTGTTGGACTGTGTTCAGTTAATTTACTCCCAGTTCAATAATCCTGCAAACTGTAGATCCTCCTATAAACCCAAATTACTCTTTATTTCTGTAGGTATTGCGTATTCTCAAAGATTGGTCTTGAAATTGGTCTTAGTTATTTAAGTTGCACACTAAGTCACAAATAAGTCAAAGTAAACAGAAATATTTTGTTCATATCCTTATGTTCCTTAGTTTTCAGAAAGGTTTGTAGAGAGTTGCTTGGAAATTGTCTACAATTCCCTCTTTGCCTAAGTGCTCTAAATAAAATCCCAGTAGCTTCTACAAAATCCTCCATCCTTGTACAGATTCTATTGCATTTGAATGAATGAAGTTTTGAAATATTTTGTCTTTTAAACTTTTAAAATGTTTATGGTAAGATTTTGTTTTAACTGATTGAATCATGTCTAGGTTTGAACATTCTGTCTTATGTTAACTACTTGCGAGGAATTACGGATTTTTACAATTTGAGACTTTTTAGACAAGAATCTGAATCATGGAATATCTAATTTATGTGTCATTTGGCTTTCTTTACACTCTGTATTTTAAACTTAGGAAATCATATAATTTGTTTAAATGGAATAATGTTGAAATCAAGTATTTTTTAGTCTCTATAAATTTTTGTTACTTATAACATTGTGGTTTTGGCTCAGTCTTACCATGCATTTGTTTTAATTTGATCAAGATTAGGAAAATGAAACATTTAATTTATTAATTTGCTTTTAATTAATTGGTTTTTATACATTTTTCAATTTGTGTTGTACAAAATATTGTTCCCATAAGGTTGATGGGCTGGGGGTGTGGTTAGGGTTCTGGTTTTGAGACTTATGACAACAGGAGTTAAAAGTTGTGCCAAACCATGAAGGCATTATTCCTGAGTTTGCTATTTGAATTAACTATCTACTGTCCCTCTTGGGTGTGAGAAATGGCATAGCTCTCTGCCAAGTTAGCACTGATTTGTCAGGGAATAAAAATAATCCCACTTTGCATGGCCCTAACCTGATTTTAAACCAACACACTCCCACCATCATTAAGGCACCTGGCTTATTTTTTATTTAGTTTGTCAGTCCTGCTGCTGTTTTGCATTCTCTTTCAGACAAAAAGACATTGCTCTGTAGGCCTATGAGTGGCAAGTTGGGAAGGCTAGGTATTAGGGGTAGGGTATTAGGGTTAATGTTAACAATAGAACTGACACAGTATATTTATGCTTAAATATAAAGAACATGTGTTGCTTATATGGTATGTATAAAGTTTTTCAGATTGAAATGGTTGGTTGGTGTATAGACATTGTAAAGCTTTATACCTGGTATCCCTCAATGTACTGCTGCAGGCCTGTTCCAGTGTCAACCACTGGCAGCCACCACACCACAGCTTCAGTTGATGACACTGGCCTTGCGTAGACATCTGTTGGAGGCTCTGTAGGGACTGGAGAAGTCAAAGAAATGGATGAGAAAAAAAGGTGGTCAACTACTCTAGGGTCAACACTGCACCCTTTATTTTCCCAGAGTGCTCACCATCTCGTGGGTAGTAGATGATCTTCGTGACGCTGTAGGGTCCGTCTCCTTTCACATTAAATGTTTTGATCTTCACCTGAAACTCCCGCACCTGGAAATCTTCCTCATTGGGGATGAAGTAGGAGTCTCTGTGAACATAACGCCTTGTCTCGGGGTCAGAAATGGACTCATACCACCAGTCGTAAGCATCATAAGGCTTGAATGCCACAATATAGCCAAAATTCTTGCCATAGAAATACCAGGGCTGCACAGGCTATGGGTTGTGAGTGCAAAGTGAAGAAAGAAAGGAAAAAACATTTTGTTAATGTAAAGATGTGTTCAAGTATTTTTGGTAAAGTCAGAATCTTAACAGAGTGTGACATTAACTGAGGGCTTGCTTACTGTCCATGTGATGACAATCTCACCATTTCTTCCTCCATAACCTGCCACATCAGTGGGAGCTACTACTGGAGCTGAGAAGAAAAAGGGTCCTCTATCAGTTTTTCCCCAAAACCTTTCTTGACTAAAAGATAATGTATGTCAAACGGAGTATTGGTATTCTCTTCTTACAAGCATCCCAGGTTTTGATCTTGAGGGAGGGGATGCTGGCCTCTCCGGAGCCATACTCATTGGTGGCAATAATCCTGAACTGATACACCATCCAAGGGTACAGGTCAGTCACCTCTGCCCTTTCCACACTGCCATCAAGAAAGGTTGGAGCTGAGGGAGAAACAAAGAGCGTCCAAGTCAGCCCACAGCAGTTAAAAGTGCTAAATGTTCAGTTTAATTTTCTGGGACAGGAAAAATCTCAGCTGCGGAGTGAGTACTCACACGTGCTGGCATTCCTCCAGTCATCTTCATTCAGAGCCCAGTAGTGCCTGGTCTGAATGGTGTAGTAGAGAATGGGGCTGTTATGCTCCGATCCTTTAGTCCACAACAGCTTTACCCACGTGTCCCCAATCTCTTCCACCCGGATCACACCAGGAGGACCAGGAACACCTGGATCAGGGAGGAAATATTCATGTTAGAGAAATGGGATTGAATGGTGTATGTACTCAAGAAATCAAGTAATGATAGCAAAAACAGCAGTTTTTAACACAAATAATAATTATCACTTTTAATACTGCATTTTTGGTTTCCTCTGCTTATTCTTCAGTTTTACTTATTTGCTTTCCATAACAACAACATAAATTCTGTGGTCAGGCAAAGCATGCTGGGACTGACCTACAACTTTGAGGTCAGCATAAGCGGTGTCGCTGTCCACCACGGTCTGCGCCGTGCAGGTGTAGTGCCCTTCATGCCAAATCTGGACATTCTTTATTCTTAGGTCACCTCTGCCGTCTTCATTCTGACCAACAGGAAGCAAAAGGAGAAGAAAAAAAAAGGGAAGAAGGATAACTGAGAGCCACAGACAGAGCTGTTGATGTAGTCAGAAAACATAAAATTTAGAAATCCTATATTAGCTGGCAATACCAATAGGACTGTCAAGTGACCAACTGTGAGAAAGCTATGACAAGTGAGACTGGGATGAAGCATTACCATAACACGTTCGTAGTGTGGCCACTCAGTGTCAAAGTCAATGACTCTGAAGTCTATGGCCCAGATGAAGGTGATGTCCAGCATGGGGTCGTATGAAGCAGAGCAACTCAGAATAACCTCATCACCAACCTTCACCTCAGTGTCTTCAGGAGCCACCATGATGCTGGTAGCCTCTAAAAAAAACAATAGACACAACTATTACAGGTCTCTATTTTTATTTTCAAGTACTCGATTTTTATTCTATTTTTATCTCGTCTCCCAATGTACATTCCTTTGTCTGCATTGTTTACTGCCTGTTTATACTGTTTATTTTGCATTGTTTGTTGCTTGTTTATACAATTTATTTTGTTATACTACACAGCCTTATGTTGGTATATTGTCTACTTGCCCCTTGCTGTTGCCTTGCATGGGGCTATATACGTGCACATTGAGAGCCACTGTACCAGAGTCAAATTTCTTGTGTCCAGCACACGTGGCCAATAAAGCTGATTCTGATTCTGAATGTGTCCATTACAAGTGTCCAACTGTTATTTAGCAATATCAGCATCAGCCAAATGGCCTACATCTAACGCTCTCCCACTATACAACACTTTACTACAATTAAATGTGTACACAGATACACAGAAATGCAGTATATACAAATGCTCATATACCTGTAATGGTGAGATAGCCAGAGCTGTTGGCTTTTCCCCTGTCATTCTCAGCAAAGCAGGTGTAGACGCCCTCATCGTTCTTTGTGGCATTGAGAATCTCCAGAGTCCCATCAAACATGATGGAAATGCTTAAAATGAACACAGTTAACAAAGCTAAGCTCAGTGGAAGGTTAATGCATATCAGGGGACATCAAGTGTTACACTGTTTAATACTGATTTTTAAGAAATTAGCACTGAGTTTTATCACTATACAAAAAACTACTTGTTGCACCGTCACTGCGTCTGGTCTCTTTTGTTATGGCTTGTACTGACCGTGATGTGTTGAACAGCAGTTCTTTGTCCTTTGTCCAGGTGAAGCGAGGTCTAGGAGCAGCTCGGGGTTTACACTCGATCACCACGCGGCCATCTTTAGCTCCAAGAAGTTGCTTCTTCACAGGGTTGAATTCGAATGTTGGAGCACAGGCTGGAGGGAGATAACAGTCTTGTGTTTAGGAACTATTTAATTAGTGTAGCAGCAGAAATCCTTCAGACCTTGACATCTTTGAAATCCCTATTTTGCTTTCTAGTATCTGACAAGTCAATGCAAGTATCATTCATCTTTTGAGGGGACTCACCAATAACTTGCAGCTCAGCATTGGCGTATTTGATGCCCCAGAAGTTCTCGGCAATACACTGGTACATCCCTGAGTCATCAAAGGTTAGACTTGAAAACTTCAACTCACCCTTTCCATACTGTAATATACAAACACACACAATCCAGATGTTCACTTATAGCTTAAATATAATTTCAATTTGTACACAGAACAAAAACTGAGCCAATACCTCAAGTACCCAAAATGTTTGTAATGGCAGTGCACAAAAAGTATTTTCACCATGTATCCATCTTTGTACCAGCGGATGAAAGGGAAAGGTTTTCCTGATGCCACACAGCGCATGGTGTGCTCTGAGCCGATGTCGATCTGAGTATTGTTGATAGTCTCAGCCCACTCTGGGGCAGCTGAGAAAAAACATAATTTTATTCATTACTCTGTAATGTATAGGCTAAAAAAATCCCACTTGCTGTATTACTGCCCCATCCTTAGGATACAAGGGGGACAAAAGACCTACTTTTGCCCTGCAAAAATTATTTTCACATGCAAAAATATTGGATCCCCTGCATTTCTCCAGTCCAAAACTGGACTGGACAGAATTATTGATACCCTCAGTGTAATATTTGGTAGCACACCCATTGGACAAAATAACTTCAAATCACTTCCTGTAACCAGTAGTGGGTTTCCTACACCTTCTCTACTGGAATTTTGAACCACTCTTCTTTTGCAAACTGCTCCAGTTCTCTCAGATTTGAAGGGTTCCTTCTCTCAGCTGCTGTTTTGAGCTCTCTCCACAGGTGATCTATGGAATTTAGATCTGGACTCATTGCTTGCCACTTCAGAACTCTCCAGCACCTTGTCTGAGACCATTTCTGGGTGCTTTTTGGAGTCTGCTTTGGGTCATTGTCCTGCCATGACCTCTGACAGAGACCCAACTTTCTGACACTTGGCCCTACTTGGTGCTCCAGAATTCGATGGTAGTCTTCAGATTTCATAATGCCATACACATAGTCAAGACATCCAGTGCCTGAAGCAGCAAAGCAACCCCAAAACATCAGTGAACCTCCACCGTGTTTGACTGTAGGGACCATGTTCTTTTCTTTGAAGGCCTTATTTCGTTTTCTGAAAACAGAATGATGTGCTCAACCAAAAAGCTCTGTGTTCTCCCAGAAGGACTGTGGCTTCCTCAGGTAAATTTTGGCAAACTTCAATCTGGTTTTTTGCCTCTGTGTCAGTAGTGGGGTCCCCCTGGGTCTCCTGCCAGAGTGTCCCTTGTCATTCAAATGGAGACAGTGCGAGCTGACACTGTTGCATGCTGTGCCTGCAGGTCAGCTTGAATTTGTTTGGAGGTTGATCAAGTTCAAAGTCAAAGTGTTTATTTTGTCATATGCACAGTTAGGAAACGTGTTTCCCTATACAATGAAATTCTTACTTTGCCGTCCACAAGAATGCCACAAAATACAAATGAAATATAAAGTAGATAAATAACACAAACTCTAAGGCACTTTAAGCAGCAACAGATGCAGCAATATAAAATTTTTTTAATAAGAATATAACAGAATGCATGCTGCATGGGAGCAGTATTTGCAGCAGTCAACAGTCATTGTGCAATTATACATGTGCAAACTGAGAATGTAAACAGTACATCACGTATTTCCTGGTAATAAACTCCTCAGCTGTTTAGGAGTCTGATGACAGAGGGAAAGAAAGAGTTTTTCAGTCTAGTGGTCCTGCATTTCGCACTTCTGAACCTCCAGCCAGAGGGCAGAGAAGTGAACAGTCCATGCTGGGGGTGGGTGGGATCTTTGAGGATGGAGGCAGCTTTCCTACGCACCCTGTGGTAGTAAATGCTCTGCAGAGAGGGTAGTAGAGTCCTGGTGATCTTCTCCACAGTCTTTACCACTCTCTGCAGGCACTTGCGGTCCATAGCAGTAGTGCTGCCATACCAGACGGTGATGCCAGCTGTGTGGTGTTAAGTGTCCAGGTGAGGTCCTCACTGATGTGGACGCCCAGGTATTTGAAGCTGCTCACCCTCTCCACTTCGAGTCCCCGGATGAACAGCGGCCGATGAGATCTCCTGTCCTTCCTCATGTCCACTATCATCTCCTTCGTCTTGTCCATGTTGAGGCTGAGATTATTGTCCTTGCACCAAGACACCAGACTGGGTGTAGAGGATGGGACTGAGGACACATCCCTGTGGGGTGCCAGTGTTTGTAACAATGCTGGCTGAAGTCCTATCAAGGTTCTTTATCCACCATTGCAATCTGTCATCTATTTTTATCTTTCATCCATGTCCACACAGTTTAGCTACAGTGTCATGGACTGTAAACTTCTTGACAATGTTGCACACAGTGGACACAGGAACAGCAAAATCTCTGGAGATGGACTTGGAGTCTTGGGATTGTTCAGGCTTTTCCACTATTGTGCCTCTCAAAACCTCAGACAATTCTTTGCTTTTCTTTTTTTTTTTTCTCCATGCTCAGTTTGAGGAACACAAAACAAAGGTTGAGTCAACTTTTCTCCATTTTAACTGGTTGCAAGTGTGATTTCTATATTGCCAGCACCTGTTCATTGCTACAGGTGTGTTTCATTTCAACTATTTTTCATGATTTTGAAAAAGTCTCAGTAATTCTGTCCAGTCCAGTTTTGGAGTTCTGTGTGGAATGTATCAGATTTAGTTATTTCTCTCTGCTTGTTTGTGTTCTTCCAATGAAAACAAAAGAACTAAACATGAGAATACCAAAGAATTTGCAACTGCAACAGTTTTCTAAAGAAGTGGTGTGTTATATGACAGAAATGCAGGGGTGCCAATATTTTTGGCCATGACTAGTAGCAGATTTTTTGTAAGAAATATACACCGCTATGCTACATCCCTGTACTTGTTCAAGTACACGTCCAGTAACTTTACTTACACTCCACGTAGAGCCAGGCCTTGTGCCAGTCCTTCCCTTTAGTGTTGATGGCTTCACACTCATATGCACCCACATCTTCATACTGTACGTTGTACAAATGAAGCACAGCTCCTGATTCACTGATTTCATGATTTGCAGGCAGGTCTGTGGCATCCACCTTTCTCCAAACAATATGAGGAATGGGACTGAACAGACATAGAAAAGCTTACATGAACAAGCAAATGCACAGATTACTATCTTACTTACTATCAGATAATTCAGCATCTGCTCTATGTGAAAGCACACATTTCACAAACCCTTGCACTTCCTTTATTCCTAAATGACAAAATTAATGACTTACTTTCCCAAAGCAAAGCACTCCAATGTAATATTAGAGGCCAGCATGGCTGTAGTGTCTGGGAACTTCACAGCAATGTTTGCTGGGTACCTCCTCTCCTCACCTAAGGCAAAAAAAAGTAAATTACATCCAAAATAAAAGAGGTTTGGAAGTTTTCTTGTTTGGCTGCAGTACAGCTACTATCTACCAACCATCATCAGGGGGTAAAGGGATGAGGGAGATAAACTTTGACCAGACGCTCTGCCCAATGATGGGACTGGAAACATAACAGGAGTAGTTTCCTGCATCCTGAGCTTCCACCTTGGAGATGTACAGGTTCCCTGTTCTCTGGGAGACAAAGCGACGCCGATCTGTGTGAAGGAAAACTGGGAGCTCGTTGTAAATCCAGCGGTAGGTCACCGCCTCTGAAAGGGAAGAAAAACCATGTGGTTCTATTCCAAAGAAGAAAAAAATGTATGATATTTGTGGGCATGTACAAAACTGCTGCTGCTGATGTGCACAGATAGTCTTTAGCAGCAGCATTACCAATGTGGACTGGTGTTGGTAGATAAAACCCAGTTTCAGGTATGGGGCTTGCAAAGAAAAAATTGAGCTAGCATGAAAACTTGTACATACGAGGCCAGGCTTTTGGAGGGACACACAGCAGAAACGCTCCCTGTCCTTCTTTGGCATACACTGGCTCTCGCTCCTCATCAGGAAATGGCTCCAAATCTACAGATGAGGATAATTAATATAAAGGACAAACTGGAAAAATAATGTTGACGCATACACAAATTTAAAACTGCAGCAAAAACATTAAACAACAGAGTTTTGATCTTTAAGGAGGATGAATTTGGATTTAACACAGCCAAACTCCAAAGAGGTAGAGCCAAAAGTTTACAATTAGCCACAGGGTTTATATGCTCACATCCAAACTTGAACCTGGCCTCCTTGCTGATGACGGTGCCGTAGATGTTCTTGGCCACACAGATATACGTCCCAGTGTGTTTTTTCTTGGGGTTGGTGATAACCAGGTTGCCCCCAACCAAGCTGTAGTGTTCATCTGGCTGCTCCATCAGCTTGATTTCCCAGTTATCCCGTCGCCATCTAGCAGTAAAAAAATAAAATATGACCAACACATGTCTTACTTCTTAAGGTACTTGTGGTATCCATTCTATAGTGCTATATAATATAATACAAGAGTACTCAGACTGCATGTACCTCTACCAACGCGCAACAGTCGCTAACGCAAGTGGGTCTCTTATGAAAAATGAGATCCGCAACAATACAAAATGTGTCCTAAAATCCTTGATCCAGATTATCTTTTAGGGTATGATAGGCAAACAATTCAACCATTACTTTTTCCACCATCAGTTTGTATGTTTAATGAGTGTATTCAATAAAGACATAAAAGATCATGACCGTTTGTGTTTTATCATCTTAGAAATATTTGTCATATTTGTGACTTTGGTGAAGATCAGATCACATATTTTGACCAACTTATGCAGAAAACCAGGAAATTGCAAACTGTGCCATTACTTTTTCTTATGACTGTATATTGTGCATCTTACCTGAATTTTTCAGGGTTCTATTTTCATTGTAGGCCAAGCTATGGCCAAAAATATGCATTAAATGGGGTTTTCAATGTTAAATTTAAATGCCCATCAGATCCAGAATCTGGATCAGATCTGGATGAAATCTGGTTTGGTGATAGGTATTGCCACCCTACGTATTTGCATTAAATTTTAAATGATTATAACTTTTGATGGAGATATGAATTTTTCAGATTTTGCCCCATGTTAAAGATAGGGATTTTTGTGATGTTCTTTTGTGACCTAGACCTTTGACCTTTTTTTCTAATCACTTTTAGGGTTGGTCCCCACCAATGTCTGTACCAAGTATGCTGATGATCCTGCTAACCAACACACACAAACACAGATGGAACCATAAACATAACCTCCTTGGCAGAGGTAATAACATTTCCCTTTTAGGAAAATCACTTTTCAAGGGTCTGTGACCTGTATGAAGCTGGTGGGTTTGCCCGTGCCCTGCAGTTCATGGAGATTCTCCCATCAGGTAAGTCCTCAGTATAAATCACATCCACTGGCTCCTCCTCAAAGATGGGACCATAACCAGTTGCATCCTCTGCCAAATTTAACACCATTAGATTACATATTAATATTCAATCACCATAAAACATCTTGAGTCATGTGAAAAAATTAGGACACCCTTTGAAAGCATGTGTATTTTGTAACATGTTTTAATATATGGTTATTTAATCTCAATTTTAACAATACAGAGAGACTAAAGTAAAACAACTAAACAAGTAAAACTGAAGAAAAGTCTTTTCAAGATCTTCTGTAAATGTAATTCTACAAAAATGCCTATTCTTGCTTGTGTGAGCAAATTGGTGAACAGTGTTAAAACACTGAGTATGCTTCAGCACACAGAAAATGCTATGCAAGTATTAGTCTATTTTATCTACAATGGACATATTTTCTCCTCATCTTGCAGGTCGTTTTGCGGTGCGTGACATGCGTCAGACTGTGGCTGTCGGTGTGATTAAGGGTGTGGAGAAGAAGGTCTCCACCACTGGTAAGATTACCAAGTCTGCCCAGAAGGCCCAGAGGAACAAATGAATGTTGTGCTACTCTGCCAACCCCAAGGTCTCCCAAGGCAGGACATCAGTCATCCAACTCCATCCAACAATTGGCTTCTTCAACTTAATAATCAAAGACTGGTTAATCATCACAATGCATCGCAAAAGCATTCGAAGGAAAGAAAAACATGTAGACACATGAGGTGGCACTCCTGACTCCATTTCCGTGGTTAGATTACCATTACGTACAATGTAATATCAAATGGTTTTAAATGTGCACTGTTGCTTTAGTTCATGGCAATACCTTTCTGTGATATTGAGACATTGAAGAATTAGAGGTACTGTAATTTATTACCTCTCTAGATCTCTGGAGTGCAGGTACAGGTCTCTTTACGTGGTATACGTTGTCTTGCTTTTAGTGTTTGTTTGCAACTACATGGTGCTCTGTAGGAGCCTATGGAAAGAAGTTCAAACTATGTTCTTCTGAGTAGTAGACTGTAGAAGTTAGTGATTTGTTGTGTTTAAGCTTTAAAAAGCACTTAAAACAAATGGTCCAAACTTCCCTCTTTTGAGAGACTGATTAGACCACAAATGGATTCTTAAAGCACTTTGATTGGCATTTTGCTGAGTTTGCACTTGAACTGAGGAAGTTTAAATTGGCATAAGCTACTGCACCTTATAACATGGCATGAGCCTTTTTGCAACATTAAACATGTTCCAACCAAAATGATTTTGTCATTTTGCTGTGACTGAAGCAATATGGCAGCAGATGCCTTAAACTTGTCAATCCTATAAAATGAATTTCATAAAGTAGTTCCTTACAGTACACACTTTTCTCCACAAGATGTAGCCAACAGCTCAAGGCCAGTCTGCCAAGAGGGTGTGCTATCTTTTTCCTCAGTTAGAATAGGCATTTTTGTAGAATTACATTTACAGAAGATCTTGAAAAGACTTTTCTTCAGTTTTACTTGTTTAGTTGTATTACTTTAATCTCTCTGTATTGTTAAAATTGAGATTAAATAACCATATATTAAAACATGCTACAAAATACACATGCTTTCAAAGGGTGTCCTAATTTTTTCACATGACTGTATATGCAGCATGCCTTGCATTTCCAATTCTGAGAAACTGAACTCACCTCCAAATATTCGCGGCTCCCCAAACAGGACCGCCACTAGAAAAGCAAAACATGGCCATTTCAGCTCAAAATAGCACAGCAGTTTTATAGCTGTTCTTGTTATCAATTTTAGGGAGTACCTGTAGGTGTTAGACTGGCATCACTGCCTCTCACCTGTGAAGGAGATGGAGGAGGAAAGGGCCAGTAGCAGTAAAGCGGTGATAGCCATGGTGGTCAACAGACCAACTCACTGCAGTTGCACAAGTTAGGTAGATGGAGAGAGGGACACAAACAAAAAGGCAATGACCAGGGCATGAACTGGTGAGGGCTAAGAGAAAAGAAAAAGTTTTAGTCTGAACAGAATCATTTTTATAATATCAGAAGCAATTATTTTGCTTAACATGAACCCTCACTGTGGCCACAGCAAGCTGATGACTGTGCATGACCTTCCACATCAGAAACAGTGAGTGCAGAACCAGCTAGAATCCTCCCTGTGCATATCAATGATTCATGATATGAGTAACTTAGCAGAAGACTGCAAATAGTGTGCAAAGAGAGTGCCCACATTCACAAGGACATACATCTGCATAGACACACAAGCCTGTAGTGTACAGCATGTGTGCACAATGACAGACTGAAACACTAGGACTATCAAAAACAAAACACCAGATAGCTCTGCAGCATGTAGACAGATCATGCTGTGCAGCAGACCCTGGTACACAGCCTAACTACATGCAGCTATGACTGATATTGTTTCATCATCATTGATATGATATTTTACTGCACCAGATGCCTAAAACTACGCAAAGTGGTATGAACTAATTATAGTTATCAGTTCATAAAATGACTACAGAGTAAAAATATGCAAGGTAGAGCTTTGCTTGGGAATTGTAATATAAAGCAAAAATCTAGACCAGAGTTTTCTCTAGGTTAATTCTGTTATTGAGGCGCTTTACATGTATTTATATTTACTCCATTGTGCCAAAAAAGCACAACAAACCTCAGGCTACATGTGATAATAATCCTACTACAATGTCACAGGGCATAGAGATGTGTTCAGGAACAGTAATTCTAGAGGAAACCAGGAAAACAGCTTCCCTTAAAAATGTTTTGATGTGCAATAATGTCCAAAAATATGATTTCACTATCTAGTATAAACTTAAACAAACAAAAGACACTGTTGAGGTAAACATTGTGGACATCTACAGAAGCACCCTTGACCAGCAAGTATGTCCTACAGTTAGCAGCAGCCAGACAGTCTCAGCGTTTTTTACTGAGTCATTCTGGATGTAAGAAGCCAGACAGGAACCTCCCATGTGCCTCGGAAGTAATGTTTCTTTCATCGTTCTTGAAACAGAGTGAGAGAGCAGAGGCATACACTGAATATGCAGCATATCCGCCTGTAGAGATCGCAGCACTGACTCCTCGTGCACTAATGACTCAACACTAGCACACTATTAACTGTATACTAACAATTGGCTGGCTCCATCTATCCCACGTGCTATTTCTTTAAACCATTTGTCTTTGAGATAGAGCAGAACAAGGAAAACTGAGGCCTAATGTGCATCTGCAAGATCCTGAAAATGGATGGGTGTCTGAATCACAAGTCAAATTCAAATCATGCAAACAAACAAAACATCTACTTTAACATACAAGCTTCTATGGCACATTTTATGTATAGTGTTTGCTTTATAGATGATTGTTGCAGCAATCTGTTCCACCACTAATTCTCATAAACTCATCTGTATGTGCTTTCATGTGCTTCCCCTGGCAGTAATCCCATAACAGATCCTCTTTAGACAAACCAGTGAAATTTGGGTCAACAGCACATGTATTAAGCCCTGTGTTTTAGAGACCACATGAATAACCATGCTTGCTATGGTTTTATAGCTGCAGAAAAACATCATTTTTAAATTCAGCAAAAGGGTATCCTGACATTATTTTTGAGTTTACCCGATTAGTGGTGGATTGATTGAAGATTGATTGGTTTGAGTGAGTGTGCTATTCTCCACTGTAACAGCTTAAATAAATATAAATATGGCAACATAAAGACAAAATTAAATCAGACCAAATGCTTTTCATGTAATGGGAGGATTAATCCTTTTCTCTAACTAGCTTGCAGCTACATCTGTTTGCTAAATGCTTGTGACATCTTGGTCACCAATAAATTTTGCATTTTTCTCTTATAACCCAGAAAACAAAGAAAAAACAATAATGATGAATGGGGTGGGGGGCAATCCTAGAAAATCATGAAGCACACTGAATTTGATCTTTAAGCCCAAATTCAAATGATAGAAGGGGAATCTATTTTGAAATCTTTAACTTTGTCAAAATCCAATATATTTTAGAGAATTTAATCATCTTTCTTTCTAATAATTTAGTTGAACAATTTAGACTCCGTTGCTGATCTAATGGCAGTACCGAGTATGATCTCTAAACAGTGTTTCACTATTAAAGGAGGTGCCCTCCTGCCCATAACTAACAGTTCTAAACCAAATATATGCCATGGTGCATACAGCAGCTCTCTGCGCCCTTGATGCATATCTGACATTTTCACCTTGAGTCCCCTCCCTGCAAACACACTGTCTTTTATCATGCGCTATCCATGACTAAAACCGCACGGCCGCAGGACAGCGCCGAGTTTGTCGCAATCCTTCAATGACCACCAGTCTGTAAAAGTAACTGCGCAGCCCCTTACATCACCGCAGCCCAGTGACGACTGAGCGGCACCGGCAGTTCACTGCTCTGCATTGCGGTACTCATGTGCCGGTCCATTTCTGCTCTATAGGGCTAAACACGTTTCCCGTTGTATTCTCGCAAAGTCCAGACATAAGAGCCACCCAGGTCAATGCAAACACTCTCGTGTGTAATTGTTATTCTTACCTTTGAGTCACAATGGGAAATTTCAGCACGCTATTTGTACGGCACACCCGGACCCGAACCGCATCATCCCAATGCCCACAAAGCCGGAGCGTCCCGTTCAGCGGAACTTTCTATTGGTGGGAAATGGGTGAGTAGCACGTCTGGGAGGCAGTGAGGATGCGGCTGCGATTGGTTCATGAGAGAGGAGAGGATAAGAAGAATGCGCAGCAGCATTGTGCTCGCGTTCCACATAAAGAAAAAGAAGTCTTTATGGCTGGTTCTTAAACTCTAGAGAGGACAACGGACTAATTTTAAATGGTCTTATACTTGTATAGCGCCTTTCTATGCTTTTACAGCACACTCAAAGCGCTTTCACATTATTCGGCCATTCACCCATTCGCACTCCCAAGCACTCACACACCGGTGACATAATCGGGAGCAACTGGGGGTGCAGTGTCTTGCTCAAGATCCTCCGGTTAGGAAACGACCCGCTCTACCTCCTGAGCCACAGCCACTAATTTTAAGAATATTATGGTAACACTGTACAATAAGGATACATTAAATAACAGTACTTAATGCAGTAATAAGCATGAACTAATGCATTTAATCATTTACTAATGTTTTTCATGTTAATTAAAATATTAACTCATACATTATTTAATGACACTGCAAAAATTATTTGATACAGTAATAAGCATTAACTATAAGTTAAATAATACAATAATAAACATTAAATAACTTAAATGTCTCTTGGTAATTAACGCTAGTAAATAGTCGATAAAGATACTAACATGCATTTCATGAAGTTCACAGCTTAGCAGTTTCATTAGGAGAAGGCTGTGTTAATGTTCATTTAAGAGTAATAATTGTCCACTTACTTGTCCATCCTCCAACCTACAAATTCACTTTGTCTGTCCTAGCTCCACCTTCATCTGAGATGGTAGCTTCCAGCTTCTGATTGACTGTATACACATGATCCAGGTATTCTGCATTGGATAAATAACTTAAATGTCTCTTGGTAATTAACACTAGTAAACAGTCGATAAAGATACTAACATGCATTTCATGAAGTTCACAGCTTAGCAGTTTCATTAGGAGAAGGCTGTGTTAATGTTCATTTAAGAGTAATAATTGTCCACTTACTTGTCCATCCTCCAACCTACAAATTCACTTTGTCTGTCCTAGCTCCACCTTCATCTGAGATGGTAGCTTCCAGCTTCTGATTGACTGTATACACATGATCCAGGTATTCTGCATTGGATAGGGCATGGATCGTTGGAAAGCATGCACAGCGGTAGCTCTTGAAGACCTGACCTTCCCATCCCTGTTGTATACTGTAAGCATTACTTACTCATAATTACACATTTATTAATGCTCTATAAAATGTGTCACTAACTTTAATTAACCATTTGTTAATGCTCTTTGTGACCCTGTAAAGTCTAAAGCATGTATTTATTAAGGAACACTTCATAAATGCATACAAGTGCTACAAAATCATTTGTAACCATAATTATCCAGGTACTACTGCTGCCAGAATAAGTAGTGGAACAATAAACCTAGATGTCGGTCATACTGAAACATTATCTGTGATCCTGAGGAAGAAACACTTGGTCAGTACTTGATTATACAGTACATTACAGCCAAACCCACAAAGGTTCAATTTGTTTTACTGTTTACCTTGGATGTTGTCATGCTTTGCTGCCTTTTTCAAAGCATTCCTTTTATATTTTTTCCTGACTTAGCATAGTCTCTTTCTGTCCTGTGTTATTTAAATCCACTTGATTCTCCAAAGATCAGTCATCTGTATTATTCATCCTAGCAGCAGACCTTCTTTTTATTGTGTCTGCCCACCTTAGGAAGATAACAGGTACACACTGATTTCTCACTTATGTGGGCCCCACCTGCAACACTCATATGGTGTGTGTATGTGTTTGTGTCTATACATTATAAGAAATAAGCAGTTGAGAATGTCTCAACGATAAACAGGAAATACTGATAATAAATATGCAACAAAGCATATCTGTCTTTAATTCATGTCTGTATCCTCAGAACAACTTGTGTTGGAGAAAACTGTAAGGATTACTGTGGGTGATATGTGTGTGTATCTGGCACCTTCTCCCACAGTGGTGGCACATGGGCATCATAGATGCAGTGAAAGGTCTTCTCCAAGTTGGATGACATCACCACTAAACCTTTGATCCCTCTCTCCAGCTCCACTAGGGAGATACAGCAACACTTTAGTCATTTTTACCCCTTTTATTGCAGGTGTTTAGTAGTCACTGCTTTCTAGTCTGACCTATTAGAACAACTATGCACTCTGCAGTATATGCATTTTATGAACCAACACAGTGCTGTTATGCTGCTGAGTTGTGGATGCCAGGACATTTATATAAAGTTAGGTTTTCTTGACAGTTTGTTATGGTGCTGTCTGTTGCTGATTTGATGTCGGTGCAGCACGTTTCCTTTAAATTTCTGCATTGCAATCAGTTACACTTTTGTGACTGGTTTAATCACCCCTGTCTGACCAACCCATTAGCACAAGAAACAATGATGGTAAATCATCTTGAAACAGTTTGATCATACCTCGTTAATTATTCAACCTACTTATCTGTAAATTGACACACACAATAAATGTTATTTGAAAAACAGGTAAACGTCTTCCCAAGCCAATAAATCAAATCAAATTTTATTTGTATAGCACCAAATCACAACAAAAGTCTTCTCAGGACACTTTACAAAGTAAGGCGTGTATGTGGACACACATACACGCGGGAGGACAGAAAGTGCAATTACCTGTATATGACCTTTATTTAATCATGTGGAGGTTGATCAAAATCTCATTTTTCACTAGACACCAGAGTAAAGCTGGAGGAATAAAGCAGAAATAAGACACACAACAAAACACAGCCTGTCACATGCAAACACATACACACAGCATCAGAAACAATCACATATTTCTCTAAATGTTAAGAAAGAGTAGAGAGGAGGTAACATGGAGCAAAAAGAAGTCATAGTAGTCAGGGGAAAACAAAGAGGATGTATAAACAACTATAAAACATCTTTCTGGCCTGTGCCTGGCTTTCCACTACTGATGCCTTATTACCTGACATCCAGCCAAACATTGCTCAGTGCAATGTTTTTGTGAATAACAGCTCAAGACAATGTGGTGTCTGTTTTACCCTTTTTTTTTTCTTTTTTTTAACATTTTTCTAGTAGGACCTGAAGAATAGCTCAGGGTTTCATGTTAGGCATTCAATAAACTGATTGCCTTCCTTGCTGTTCCTATTAAGAGTTGAAATTACAACTGCTTTGATAAAAAAATATCATCTGGAGGAAGGTAGAATTCGGAGACTATGTTGGTTTGATGCTACACTATGATTTTCTTTGGGACAATGTAGATAACTCTAACCATTAATATACATTTTTAAGTTGGGTTAGCAACTTAGCCCTTGCACACAATGTACTTTACCTGTTACTGCATTGTATTTACTACTTAGTGGACAGAAATGTAAAATATTTTCCATTTTCATGAATCATACGTGGCATTAAAGGCAAATCAGATATTTAATACTATTAACAGCAAAGTCATTGATTTATGTGGAAGATATGATTGCATCCCATCTTCTCTGGAAATTCCCAGTTTGTTTTTGTTAGGTTCTGCTCTAAGTATTTAGGTTTGGTTCGAGTGCTCGCCACCTCTGCGTTGGCGGTGCGCTACTTCTCTGTGCACCTGAGGACTGCTGCTCTGCTAACTTAATAGCCATGGTTACTGCTACTCGTTTGTCTACCTACTCATTCTGTCATCCTGGTCCCCTGCTCCTCCTGTGTCCCTCCTGCTGACGGCTCTCCTGGTCTCTGCTGGTCCCCTCCTGGTCTCTGCCTGCCCGGAGCCTGCTCGTCTTCCTGCCACCCAGCATAACCTGTGTTTGTTCAATAAACTGCTTTCCTTAGTTCCCCCTCCTCTAGTCTGTGTCTGCTATTGGGGTCCACACCACATGAACCAAAACATTTGCAGACACTTAAGTACCCATAAGTGTTCCATAAATTTAACTAAACAGTAAAACCTTACTCTTTCCATTTTCTTGACACACTTCAGACCTTGGCCTTGAGGTTCCACCATCAAGTGACCATCCTGACAGAAAAAAAAACCAAAGTAACTTGTATTTACAGTATAAAACATCTTGTATCACAACACAAGATTCATATCTAATACAAACAAAACCAAAATATTCAACTTGGTAGGCTGTGCATACTGGGCTACAGCTCATTTACTAATTTTTTAATCAAGCTGTGTCTACATATACTGACCGGTTTCTGTTTGTGACAATAACGGTATTCTCAGAGAATGCATCAGAGGGCAGGCCTTGAATGTTCCAGTCCCTCACCACTGTAGATTTGGACAGAAAAACTGTAAAACTGAACCTTGGTGTAGATGGGATCTGTAAGTCTAAGTACCTGAGGAGAGGGCAAACAGAGAGAAAGAGGGAGATAAACCAAGAGAGGAGAAATCAAAGGTTGTTTTTTTTTTGCAGAAATAAACTCGGTTTAATATTTTGGAAGGAAACTCTTTCATGACTGGCTAGTAATGGTAGCTAGTCATGAATGTTTGTGTGTGTATTTGCATCTCACCTCCTTCATCCACATGGCAAGCAACTCATCTCTATAGTTGGAAAGGAAAGGTCCCATGTAGGACAGGAAGTATGCTGCTAGCAAACAGTCTCCTATGAGGTATCCCAAATTTTCTTCAAGGCTCTGAACTATTCACACATACAGATTACACAGAAACACGAGTGTGTGATTTATCTATTGCATGACTTGTTTGTTTCTAAATTGCCTCAAACAAACCCCTAAAAGTAAAGGGATTTTGATTTTTGGTGTGTATGTTGATTGATTGTTTGGCCTACAGCAACTCTCTGCTCCCAGCAACCCCCCTCTCCAGCAAGTCTCTTCATCAGTTTGTCAGCTTGGTCTAGTTCAGTGGCTCTCAAAGTGTGGGGCGCGCCCCACTAGTGGGGAATAAAGACATGACAGGTGGGGCGCAATGAACGGAAAAAATTAGAAATGGGTCATTAATACAAGTAAATTAAAATAACATCAGTTCGGGGCCCGGGAGAAAAAAGTG